TTTTTTTCAGTTTTAGGTAATAAAAACCATCCACTTTGTTTTCTGTGATCCTTTCAATTCTTTATTATTGGTACTCTGCTCATTCTACCTCTGAGACTTTTGTAATATACTTTCCTGAATCTAGGGTAGATCATGACTATTTTAGAAGGGCGACAAGGATGGCAATATGTGTACAATATTCTATGAGGATTGCCTAAAGGAACTGGTGATATTTAAATTCACAATTTTACCTGGGCTCTGAGGATTGAACTGGCAGCATTGAAAGAAAGTTTCTGAGAAGTAGATTGGGCTTGATATAAGTGGGGGAGGGGAACCTAACATTTAGAGCTACCTAAAAGTAGAAATATTGGTTTCTCTATTAGCAGTCTTCTGTTTATGGCTATATTCTTGCTTCGGTAGGTGTAAAACAAGATGATGCTAGGGTCCTATTTGAATCAGAAATTCTTCAAGTCTGCCTAGGAGCTTCGGCAATCAGGTTCTACTCTGCCAGGACCCTTTCAGGATTACAGCAAGAATTTAACAATTAATTTAACAATTAGTATCAGAAGTCTCCCTTGTGGACCTCAGATGCCAAACCCCAAACTGCCCAGGCCAGGCCTATGGATGACCTGAGCAGTAGCTAAGGGCAGATTCCCAGTGTTGGAATCTTCTGAGTGTTCACCATCATTTGACAATTTGCGATGAGGTTGTGGAATGCTTTCTTAGTATGAAGCATGTTCCCAAGGACCCATTCATCAGCCACTGCTTGAAAACTGCCAGTCCCTTCAGCCCCAGGTGCCCAGAGTTTGGACAGAGCACAGCCTACATATGTCCCCACAGACAAGAGATTTGATCATCCTGTGACCTATGAGGGTAATGGCCCCAATCAATTGAGATGAACAAACTCTCACTCCTACTCCCTTATTTCCATTGACTGTCTACTTCCAGATAGATAAACTTTCTTCTCCTACTACCTCTTCTCACTGTTTAGTGGGCTTAGGGTAGGGAACCTTTGACCTTGAGGCCACATATGGCCCCCTCTAGGTACCCAAGTGTGGACCTTTGTTTTTTTTAATTTTTTAATTTTTCTTTTTCCAAGTATGGCCCTTTGACTGAACCCAAACTTCACAGGATAAATCCCCTTAATAAAATAATTCATTCTGTACAACTTGGATTCAGTCAAAAGGCCACACCCAAGGACCTAGAAAGCCACAGGTTCCCCACGTTATCCCCATTCAGCTCAGTACTAGCCCTCTCCAGTTTCTTAATGTCCATTCTGCCTTCCCATTAACCCTCTGGAATCTCTTTTCTTCATTCTAAATTTCTTTCTTCCAGAATTTCTATCTTTTGTCCCTTGAAGAGATCTGGTTCTCTATGGTTGACAGCTCTAGCTACCTACACCCCTCCCACGTGAGGATTGGGCCCTTTTTTTCTGATACCTTTTCACTGCCTTCTTACCCCCCACTACCACTTCTCAACCTTCCTTATATTACCATTCCTCTGAAATGTCTCTTCGAGACTTAAGAACTCTGATCAATACATTCATTAACCATGATTCCAGAGGCTCTATGATAAACCTGCCTCCTAAGGTATGACAGACTCAAAATGCAGAAATGATAAGCACTGTTTGTTTGGTTGTTGGTTTTTGACATGGACAAAATGGGGATTGCTTTTGTTTGACTATGCATATTTGTTTCAAAGGTTTTGTTTTTCTTTCCTTTTTTCTCCCATTGAGGAAAGACAAGGGGAAATGAGACAAAATATATTAATTGAAAAAATATATAGTTAAAAATCTCTTCTCCTTTGAGGTTCACTTCATCCATTTATATCATCCTATCCAGATCCTCTTAATAAACCAGCTTCCAAAGGGCTCTCTTTTTTCAAGGAAATTGGTATCTGCCTAATAACCATCCTCTCTCTTGCACTTATACATGAAAACTTCAGGAATCCTTAGGTTTTCCTTAAACCTCTGGTCTCTCAGTCCTACCATTTCAGTTTCTATCACCACCACTTCACTTCAGCCATCCACCGGGGTGGTCACTTTTTAGATCTTGCCAACACCCCAAACTACAATACTTCCAAGACTCCAAACTCTAAAACTCTCTGTTCATAAACTTCTATCCTTTCATGTCTATCTTCCTCACACTTATTCATCCACCTGACTAAGAACTTCAGGCTTCTACCTCTGTTTTCCTAGTCCCTTCCCCTCTTTCCTGGACTCACAACCTTGTTTTAATTTTTCTTACCAATTCAGCTCTATGCTGGTTGCCACTTTTGAATACTTCACTTCTTAACCAACCAACATATATGTCATCACCAGGCTCAAGCACGAATCATCTCTATTATCAATCTTCCCTATTCCAACACCTATTAAAGGTAAGTTATACAATCACAGGAAATATTTCCACTGCAAATTCAGGTTATTGGATATCAAGTTGGTTCTCTCTGATGTATGACATTTCAACATTCTTCTGATTGACTCCATATATTGTTCCTTTCAGCAACTTTTCCAGATCTCTCCCATCAAGCCCCTTTAACCACAGATATTCTATCTCAAAAGATGAAATTTATTCTAAGAACTTATTTCCCTCAACCCACACCACAAAAAATCTCCACATTTTACTAATCTTTCCCTCCTTTATTTGATAGAAGAAATGGCCCTTCTCCCTCAAAAGGACAATTCCTCTCATTGTGCCCTTGGTCTGATTTCATCCAATCAGTTTCCCATAGTTAAAAGCCCCACCATCATTCACTCTCATCTTCCCCACCAGTATAAACAGGTCCAAGTCTCCTGGACACTAAAGGAAAACAAACAAAAAATAAAATAAACAATACAAACACATTAAAAAACTAACTTTTTAACTCAATCCTAATTCCCCTCAATGATTGCATTATATCTCATCTGTCTTTCACAGCCAAACTTTTATAATCATCTATATTTCTGCATTGATTAGAATGCCAGGCCTGGAGTTGGGAAGACCTGAGTTCAAATTTGGCCTCAGATAATTATGGTTCACTATTGCTTCTGGTATGAAATGAATATTTCTGAGCCTGGGCCTTAAAATTCACTGCAATGTTGGTTTCAACTTACCTTTCTAGACTTTTTTTTTTCATTCATAGCCTTTCTGATCCAGTTCAGTTAGTCTATTTTGCTCTTTTCAGAACCTGGCATTCTACTTTCCATAATTATATTCACACAATACTTCCCTGAAGTACATAATGTAGACTCCTTCCTCCTCATTTCGACCTTTCAGAATCTTCAACACAGTTCAAGGCTTAATTTAGGTATTCTTTCCCCAAGAAACCTTTGCTAGTTTCTTCCAACCCCAACTTGATGTTTCTCCCCTTGCTCGGTTACTTCATATTTATCTGGATCTGTGTTATTCTCTTATTAGAATAGAAGTTCCTTGAATTCAGGGGTTGTTCCATTTTTTGGTCTTTGTGTCTCTGACATCTAGGAATGTGCCTCGTACTTAGTAGGTTTTTAATGCTTTTGGGGATTTCCTCCTAAATTTCAGGTCTGATCATGTCACTCCTCTCTCCACTCAATAAATTCTGGGGACTCCTTATAATTTCCAGAATCAAATATGAAACTTGCCATTTTGCTTTTAATACTTTGCTCTCCTCTGTGTACTCTGTCTCAGTGACACTGTACTTTCTATTCCTAACACAGAGGCATTTCACTGGCTGTTCCTCATGCCTAGAACATTCTTCCTCCTCAACCTCTTCTTCCTTGCTCCCAGAGTCTCTTTAAAAACTAAGTTGAAATCCCACTTTCTAAAAGAGGCCTCTCTGGGAACTCCCCACTCTTACTGACTTCCCCTCCAAAACTGCCTTCAAATGACACTATACATTTCCCAGGTGTAGATAGTTCTTTGCATATTGTCTCCTTCATAAGAATGTGAGCTCCTTAGGGACAGACTATGATTTTGCCTATCTTTGTATTTCCAGCACTTAGCACAGTACCTGGCATATAATAAAAGCTTAACAGATGTTTGTTTTTTGAGCAAACTGACTGAGCTTAATGGGTCCTTGTTAATATAACCAGAGGTATTACACTATCTTGTATGATATATAACAAAAGTAAACACATTATCCTAGTGTTAGCAATTAACACAGATTAATTATTTGGGGTAGCTTGCCAAAGAGAGCTATAAATGAGAGAAAGCACAAACCAGTTTTAATAATAAAAAAATAGCTCACATTCATGAAGAATTTTACAGTTTACATGGTTATTTTAAAAAGAAGTAAAAAAGGAGCGGGAAAGAGGTGATTCCAGGGAGGTCAGGTCTGTAGGATGAGGCCCGGGATAGCCAAGAGCATCATTTATATAAAGATATGTGATGACAAGATGTGTTGGAGAAAACTTCACCTATTTCACAATTCTGTTTGATACTTATACTACATATGACCTACAAATTTGTAGGACTAAAATCCAGAACCCATGTTTTCAAAGTGCATTGATTATATGGTCTAAAACCATGGATTAGTATTCACAATTTGTCCTAACCACATTTAGTATCTGGAAAATTAAATAAGGAGTCAAAGGTAACATTTTCTCTGGCTACCCACATGGTTTTACAACAAATATCATTACTCTAAATATTTCCAGAAATCATCCTTTCCAGCTTTTAAAATTTGTTCCCATTTCTCATCAGTATCTTCTCTAACAGAAAATCCATTTGAAAGTAACTTTTCAAATAAATAGATGAAACAGCAAAATCCACATTAGGGAGCTTTACCTACTGGATACACTTAATCCTATTTGCCCCAGTTTCCTCATCTAGAAGATGAACTAGAGAAGAAAACAGCAAACCACTCCAGAATGTTTGCCAAGAAAACCCCAAATGGAGTCACAGAAAGCTAGACATGCATGAAAAATGAACAACATCTATTGGATAATGCATGTGAACTATACTTTTTCCTAGACAAATACTGGTTGTGGAATTGTTTTTTTTTAAGTCATTTCAAGACACTTTTCTTTTTCTTATTTTCAAGAGATATATCTTTGCACACACACATATTTCTCCCCAAATTATCCTTGTTCCTTTATTTGGTGATTCATTACATTCTGCAAATCCAAATAGTCACAAAATGAACTAGGTACAATGTTAAGCATTTTACAAGCAAAATATTTTACTGTTTTCTTTTCAATTGCCGAAGGGAGTTGTAAGTGAATTATTTAAACAATATACTGTACAAAAGAAAAGATCCTTGGATTTTATAAAAAGTATATGGAAAAGAGTTTGAAATCTTCCAATGACCACATTGTTCCCAAGATGCCATTTCTGTGAAATAAGAAGATTTGTGCCTAGCATACTTTGTCAGGAAGTTATTGTTTACTTTCCTCATGGAACTTTGCATTCTCTGGTTGTTGAGGGGAAATCAGGGGAGAAGGGACTAAACAGCCCATTTTATTCAGGAAAGGAATAACAATGAAATGGATTTGAACAACTACCTCCAATTAGGTGTTGTTGTTTTCCTTTTTTGCTAACACTTCTATTATGAGAGAAACGAAAAATTTCAGGTTTCATCCACTTTCAAAATTCCACTCTGGACTTGAAAATTCAAGCATCGCAAAGAGATCACATCATAGCACGCTGTTTTTGTCAGAGTGACCATATCTTTGTTCCTCTGGCTATATCATCTCTGGTTTAAAATCTTATCAAGCTAAAAAATAGTTGATCTAGTTTGTAATAAAAAAGAATATTAAATACCTTTGGTAAAAATAGATATATTTAACAAGATTAGAAAAGCAAATAGTTATACTGTCAAAAAGAGTATAAAAATGTACACAATAAAACAAATAAACCACTCAAAGGTCATAGTAAGGATAAGGCCACTGTTCTTCTTAAAGTTTGTCTCTTCCAAATCATGTGCTGTCCAATCTGCTCTTCCAAATGGCAGGAAGTTTAGTAATCAGTAGGGAAAAATCCAGTCTTTTCTACCAGCATCAAACAAATTAAGTTTAATCCATAATAGGAAAGTTCCTTTAAAGACCAAGTTTTTAAAACCTAGAACATTCTGATTTAGATAGCTGAGGAAGAAAAAAAAATATATATATATATATATATATTTTCCAGATGTTGTGACCTTTAGGCCAGGCATGTGGAGTTCTAGATTTAAGGCAGCCAGCAGGGTCAGGTCTTCATACATGCACATAGGTGTTCTATTCTAATTTTAACACATGTAATGCCAAGACAACTTAAATATAAGACAGAGATAGCTCAGTAGATACATAGTATCTATGTAACTAGCTAGCTACCTACAGTATTTAAATTTCCCAATGATTGGTGGCATTTTCCTGTCCTTTGATTGGGTCTTCTCGAAACAGAGCTGTTGTACAACTCACGGTCGCTGTTTGGTGTCTTTCCTTGAAAACACATTTTAAGTCCTGAAGATGGAAGGTTCCCAAAGCAAACAACTGAGATTAGAGATGGAGAGAATGCACAAGCCCCATTAACAGAATCAGCCATTGATTGAATGTGCTCTGGGGGGAAAAAAAAGGCAGCACATTTCATTATATTATCCTTCCGTGTTCCCTTTACACACACAGTCACACTCTTCATGATGTTCCAGGAGCACGTCTGTCAATGATTTATGCAGTCCCCTTACACCAATCCTTGGCTTCAACTGAAGTACCTAAAAGAAGACAATTTAAAATAAATCACCAAGCATAATAGCTATGAGCAAGGTCAAGCTTCATTTATTCAACCAATATCAATCAATAAACATGTATTAACTACCTACTATGTGCTGTGCAAGGTGCTACTTATTATTAACCTTTTTTGGCTTTAACATCAAGGCTTCTACAAATCTCATTGAGATATACAGCAGATGTCAGTTTCAGTAAAGCTTAGTTTCATTGCAACTATATGTGATTTTGAAAGAGTTAGTATGTTATCTGATTTAAAGGATTTAGTAATGAAAATGGTATTATTTGCTGTAGGAAATTGAATTTGCCAACAATGATAGTTTGATAATAACACCATCTCTATCACACAAAATAATATGGACTTTTAGTTACTCTGCGTGTATATGAGTGTGTGTGTGTGTGTGTGTGTGTGTGTGTGTGTGTGTGTGTATGTGAGAGAGAGAGAGAGAGAGAGAGAGAGAGAGAGAGAGAGAGAGAAAGAGAGACAGAGAGGAGGTACTGGTGGTAGAATTATTATAACAAATTATGGAAAAAGGAGTTTAAGGTTTAATTTCTTCACTTTTAACTCCATAATAGCAAGAACTATAAAAATGGGCTGGTCATTTTAGTCCAGTAGTAATTTATTAATAATAATAATAGCAATAACACAACAACAATATTTTACCTAGTGTTTTCAATCCATTCATTTTAAATGTTTTAGGTCACAGGGATGGAGAACCTGTGACCTCAAGGCCACATGTGGCCTTCTAGGTCCTTGGATGCAGCCTTTTGACTAAGTCCAAGTTTTACACAACAAATCCTTTTATCAAGGGGATTTGTTTTGTGAAGTTTGGACTAAGTCAAAGGGCCACACTTGAGGACCTAGAGGGCCACATGTGACCTCGAGGCCGCAGGTTCCCCACCCCTGGTTTAGGATATCAACTGAGTTAGCAGGAAGCACATCTTGTTCGTGTTCTGTACAGATTTTCACACTCTGGGACAACTCCATAAATATGAAAAGTAAGATTGCTTCACTGTTCCCCTGGGTGTCCAGATATGAGAACTATAACAGCAGCTTCCAAAAGCTACTGTTTCTGGAAACTTGCACCATCACAGAACAGCACATGCTTCATCTTGTGACACTTTGCATTTGAGGGCTAAATCTGAGGCAAATTCAGAGAAAGGGTGCCTCATGAAGAGCCTGTGTCCAGTTTATGGCCTGGAGCAAAGCCAGCCCCAGTCTGAGGTTTTGAAATGGACAAACAGACATTATTTCTCACTTCCAGTTTCCAATCAGAGCCAGAAGTAGAAATGCTCATAAGGTTAAGCAAGTCCCAACTTCAATGAGAACTTATTTTTGCATGCCAGAGTTTCTTATATTGGCTCTTAAAGTTAAATTCAAGTTCTGAGTTATAAGCATCCCTAGATACTAATAATTTGTATAAACAAACTGAAGCCAACCCTACTCATAGCCTGGAATTTATTGAGTGGCTTTTATTTTGATCACAAAATAGAATCACCCTTAAAATTACCATTAGAGGTTAAAGCACTATGCTTCAGTTCAGTTATAAAGGAAATATCCTGTGGTGGGAAAAACAGTGGAATAGATATTCAGACACCAGAGCTGTTATCTAGTCTTATTTTCACCAGGGACTACTAGCAGGCCTAAAATGTCTTTAATCTGATCCTTCCAAGCTAAATGCATCCTATAAACCCCTGCCACAAAACAAGCTACCCAAACCTCCTGAAGGACTACTTCAGAAAGGTATAATATCAATGTAGTCTTCAGCCTACCCCTCCCTACACCAAGGGCCCAAACCACTAACTCTGCCTTATCTATTAACAGAAGAGGGATACCTCCCCAAAACTCCTGGCTGGTTTATGCGATAATCTTCAACAAACTCCATACTTTCAAAGGGTCACAGAGATATACAATCATAGGTATAAAGGTAGAGAGGACTCAGAATCCATCTAGTTTAACCTCCTAATGATGATTAACTAAGGAGGAAACTAAGGCTGAGTAGATTAAGTGACCTGCCCAAGGTCACACTGAGTACTAAGTAACAGAAATGAGATTAGAAATAAGGTCCTTTCACTCTGGAATCAGGGCTCCTTCCAAGGTACTACTTTCCAAATGCAATCCCATCACTTCATCCTTGAATCCCAGATTCCTTGATCTCCACTATCTAAAGCAAAAACCCATTTTAGGTGAAAACACTTGTTTTCTTCCCCATACTTTTTTCAAACATCTCAGTCCTACTCATTCAGAATTCCTACATCCTTCTACCACCCCCCTTCTATTGTAACCCTTCTCTCTCCTCAACAAATCTTGACCCTTTCCTTCTATATCCCTCCCACCTCCTAGAACTAATGAAAATATGACTCTCATGAAAACTACATATTCTTCACCACTTTTTATAGCTCTGGCTATTTATTTTTTCAGGTACTCCAACTCACAAGGCTGGGAAAAAGTGTCAGTGTATTTTCTGGTTTCTGATGCCACTTTTAAACACTTGGGTGAAGTGATTTCTTCCTCTTCAAGTTCTCCTAGAACATTTTGAACAATCTTTCATTTGCCCCATTGCATTCTTTCTAAACTATATGCTACTTATTTGTGTATGTTCCATATGCCTTCTATTAGATTGTAGGGTTCTTGAAGGCAGGGAAACATCGTTTTCCATCTTAGTATTACCAATCCCTAACTCATATAATAACTAATAAAAATGTATTTAATTAGGTAGGATTATGATTGAATTATATAACCCAGATGCATGTATATAAAAAGGAAGGAAATAAGCACTTATATAGTGTCTAATATACGCCAGGCATAATGCTAATTTACAAATATTATCTCATTTGATCCTTACATAAACCTGTAAGTTAAGTGCTATTATAATCCCCTTTTTACAGTTGAGGAAACCAAGGCAGACAAAGGTTAAATGACTTGCCCAGGGTCACATAGCTAGTATCTGAGGATAGATTTGAACTTGGGTCTTCCTGATTTCAGGCCAAGTGTTCCAAACACTGTATATATCTTCTTGCCTTATTGAGCAAAATGAACTTTAAATGCATAGAAGAGATCAAAAGAAAGTAGGCATTTATGTCCTTATGTTAAAAAGTCAAACTTGTATTTTAAATGCTGGTGTATGTGCCTCATTCTTTTACTAGATTGTATGATCCTTGAGGGTAAGGATTTTTATTTTTTTTCCAGCTTTTGTATACCCAGACTTATCACAGTGTTTTACACATACCAAATGCTTAAGAAATTTGTTGAACTGAATAAATAATAACTAGCATTTATATAGCTCTTTAATGTTTACAAAGTGCTTTACATATGTTGGTTTATTTGATCCTCTAGAGAACCCTAGGAGATAGGTGCTATCTTCATTTTTACACATGAGGAAACTGAGGCAGGCAGAAGTGAAGTGACTTGCTCAGGTGAACATTCCTAGTAAGTGTCTGAAGGAGAATTTGTACTCACTTCTTTTGGACTTTGAATCTAATACTTTATCCACCGCACAACCTAACTGCCTAAATAAATGAGAACTCTCATTATTAAGACTGAGAGGGTCTTATAATTGAAATATGGCAGGGTAAGATTGTATATTGCTTTACAAATTAGAAAGTTCTATGAAAGTAGAGGTTAAGTTGTATTCTGATAGGAAGAAATCCACAAAATCAAGGATGGAAGGATGAAAGAGAGTATTTTGGTAAGGATAAAAGCAGAGTAAGCAGAAGTTCTTCTGGTCAAGCCACTTACTACATGGCTTGATTGAGAATATTGTCCAAAATGTCTTAATAAAAAAAATGAAAGGCCTTAGGCAATATGGGGGGCTCCTACTGGTGAGAAATCAACTAGGAGTCCAATTCTGATGTAGCCAAGAAAAATGACTACTCAACTTTTCAATTCAATGAAAGTAGAGAAAACCATGACACAGTGATATTCTGGATTCAACTCTGACCAAAATGGAAGAATTTGCTATTGTTAGGAATGGGAAGTAATCCTGTACAGAAAATAAACATGTTATCTTGTAAGTCAATATAGTGAGAAATGGGACTGTTGGGACTAATAGTGATCATACCATTGCATACAATACAACTGCAGATTTAAATGTACCTTCCCATGCTTACTCTCTCTTGATTCACATAACAACCCATTGTTACAGAGACAATAATTCCTGCCTGCCTCTATGTATTTTACAACTCTGTAAGACTGGTATCATTTTATTAATGATGAAGCTGAGACTCAGAGAATCAACTTGGATTAAGGTCACAAATCTAGCAACCGACTCTTATTCCAGCACTTTCTCCACTGTACCGCACAGGTTATGTAAAAAAAAAAAGTTTTATCTTCTTCCAGTAGGATGGATTAGGATTAAAAGGAAAAAAAAAGATTTTAACAGATATATTGATTCAACAAAGGAGTATATTGCCTTGTGGGATCATGAGCTCTGTCCCTGAGTCTCTAACAAGAGACTGGGGGACTTTTTATCAGGTAAAGAGACCATTCTATGCCTCATTTCTTGCTTAGCCTTAATCCCTAAATGGGCATTGCCTCAGTCAAACTGAGACCTGTTAAAGGCCAAGGTTTCCCACTGCATCCAGGGCCAGCTCCAGCTTTCCTATCTATATCTCACCACTGGACCCAGAAGGCTCCAGAAGACAAAGTGAGGCTGTTGACTTTGCACAGCCCTCTCTCACTTCAATCCGATTCACTTGCATGTCATGCTTCACCTCCCTGATGTCATGCTTGTCTCAGAGAATACAGGGCAAACAACAACAGCCAACAACGGTATCAACAATATGTCTATGTGTATGTGTATGTGCATATTACATACAGATGTATATATGTGTATATATCTTAATCTGTGGCTATGTACAATGATATATCTATATTTCTATGACTATCTATACAGCTATATTTATTTCTATGGCTAGGTCCCAATTAGTGTAGCTCTGTGGGCAGCTAGATCACACACTGGATAGAGCACCAGGTCTGGAACAAGGAAGACGTGAATTCAAATCCAGAGTAAAATACTTACTAGCTCAGGGACCCTGATCAAGTCACTTAACCTTTGTCTACCTCATTTTTCTTAGCTGTAAAATGATGATGATAATAATAGCACCCATCTCCCAAAGTGGTTATCTTGATCCGGTAGGGCATTAAGATTAAAGGACTTAGCACAGTACCTGCCACAAAGTGCTATATAAATGTTAGCTAGTAGTAATAACGCTGGAACCAACTGCCATATTTTTCATAATTATAACTTTACATAGTACAAATTCAAATACATGGGGCCACTCCATGGAATGCATTATTCACTTTAATTAAGACCTAACTCTATTCTTTTTTTAATGTGCTAATAAGTTGGAAAGATTTTCAAGATTACTGAGAGTAATTTTCATTGGAGGCTTCGGGGTATGGGGAAATCTCACTGATTATCCAAAATGTACTTTAATATTAGGAAATGGAAGAATGTGGAGTCACTAAGGGACCTTCATAAAACACACATACACAAACAAAAAAAATAAACTTTCCTGATTTTAAAAGAGTGAAAGCAACTAATGCTTCTATGTATTACATTTTAATCCTGTTTCTTCTTCCCAAAATGGAACTTACAGAATGAATTTTAGAATACAATAGTTATTCTAATTTGTGTTTTACTGTATTGTTGTTTTCTAGAACACACAAAATACTTCAAAAGAAAAGTTGAAAAGACAGTTGTGAACCCACCTCATGGTATTTTTTAGTGACTTTGCTTGGGATGCACTGACATTCATTACAATTGTGTTGACAGCAGGCACAATTTCCACCACAGCGTTTCACCAGGAGGCAGCCAGGCCAGAATATGGTATCAGTTCTCTTGAGTTCCTCCCTTAGGGACACTGAGAAGTTTCGAGGAGTGCAGCTGTACAGCCTTACCTCCTCTTTTAGGAGGTTCAGATCCACCACTGGAGGGTATAAAAAAAACCAAAAACACATAAATATATAAATGTTCATGCTTTGATTCTGAGTAGGCTACACTAGTTTCCTTTCATCAGAAAGCTACTTATTTCATGAACAATATCTCTAACAAAGTCCCTTCTTATTGTAGCTTTATTTCAAGGCTCTATGGTTTGCAAGTAAGACTTTCAGTCCATTTCACCATTAACAAAGCTTCATTATAACTGAGTAACCAATGAAGAGATACCATTGTGCAATATGAAAAGGAGAGCCAACAAAACATTTGAGAGCTATAAATAGGAATCTTTATAGAGAAAAAGAGGGTTACACCTTTTAACCCCACTGAAATAGAGACCAGGAAACCTTGGGGCAAGGGCAGACTTATGTAAAATGATAAATGCTTCGATAAAAAAAAAAAACAGAACCAAAAAAAACAAAAAAACCCACTGTAACCTTTAAAGTGGATTATTGACATGTCTGTAATTAATGAAAAACTTATGGAAATTAAGCAAAAGGAAATTTTGAAGAACTTTTCAGGAAATGCTAGCTATAGAACATAAAGGAAATAGGGAAAATGATTTCAAGACAGTTGAGGAATTTGAGAGGAAAAAGCGATACAGACTAGAACTTAATAAAGAACACTGCTCCTGACAGAATAACTGACATTCCTAAAATTTGAATCCAACTTTTTCAGACCTCTACCCTTTTTCTTCTTTCATGGACAAAAGGAATGCCTAATTGATTACCATTGTTTTTATTCTTTTAGTCAGTTGGTTAATGAGATTGTGCTTTATTCCATAAAAGAATGAAGACCAAACAAAATAGCCTTTCATCACTGTCAGTAAATTTTGAAAGAACTATTGTCCTTCATTGCCAAAAGCTATTGCGTCAGTATAATTTTAGTGAACTATATCAACCACATAAATATAGCAGTGAGTATATATTATATATGTGTATATGTATATGTATATGTGTGTATGTTATAGACACACGATGTCTATAACATACACATATTTACGTATAAATATGTTTACATGTTAAAATAATTATAGCTCCTAAATAATGAAAATGCTTTCAAATTCTAGCTCTTAGACCACTTATTTCTGCCAGTGTTAGATACAGCCCAATTCAAATACAATGAAAAACTTTTGGAATATGGTAAATGATTCCTTCATGTGGTCTTTTTAGGAATCTATATGCAAAAAAACCTCAATAATTACCATTAATCTTATATTATAGATACATTGAAAACACAATTTAAGGAAAAAAGAAACATAAGTAAATGATGTATGGTTAATGACCACTTTTCTGAATGTGTATCTCCATATAAACTGATTTTGAAATTTCACTCACATCTTAGCTGAAGGGAAAAAAGGAAAGAAAAGAAAGAGTTGATCTTATGGTTCTAATATAATTTCACAAATGATTGAGTAGTATCTAACATGGCAAAAGAGGCCAATTGAATTCTTAGTTATTTCTTCTTAAAATATATGGAAACAAGGCTTTTTAGGCATATTATGCAATTGCAGGCCCTATTGAGCTAGCAAACAGAGCAGACACAGGCCAGCAGAGAGATAAGGACTTTTGGCTCTGTTGACCATTTTGGTCCAATTATCCTGAATTCCCTCCACCTATGTTAAAATAAAAAAAACAAGTAAAAAACCAAAACCTATGGCTGTATTTTAAATGTAAAGGCTCATTTTCATTTAGAAAAGATCTTTTGTGAGGAAAATTTGAGTTTTAAAGATTTAAGGACAACTGGAATTTTTATTTGGACTATAATATGCCAAAGTTAGCAATATGATGTGCTAAATGAATTAATTAACTTTAATGAAATAGCATGTTTAACCTAATTTCAGTCATACTGAAATCATGATATGAGAGAATGGTGAGGCGGTTGGATAAAGAAAAGAGTACTCTTCTACAATGCATACAATCACATTTAATGTGCCATTTTAAAGTCACTTACCATATTACAAAGATTTTTCATTGAATTCAAATTGGACCATATCTAATATTGGCAGAAATAAGTGGGCTAACAACTAGAACTTAAAAAACATTTTCATTATTTATAGGTAGGAGCTATAATTATTTTATAGGTAAACATATATAGATATGTAGATATATAAATGCATAAGCTCCCTTTCATTCCTATCACTGCATTTAATTTTGCCTATGTAGATCTGGCTGTGAGAATCTAGACAGAAGACTTCCATTTGAAGAAGGAAAAAGAAAGCCCTGAAGCAAAAATTGTCCAATGCTTATTTCAGGGCCATACTTCTTTGCAGTGTGAATGAAGCTCTTTGCTTTCAAAGGACATTCATCTATCTCAAGTGGATTTAAACACACTATATCATGAAAGTAGAAAAAATGACTGTATATGTTCACTTTAAAATGTTTACTTAACCACAATAAAAGGTTAGATAGATTTCCCAAGTGAGCTAAGTTATGGTACCTGCTACAATGTGAAAATTTAAACATACTTTCAACTTAGCTTCCACTCATTTATCATGTTTGACACAGAAGTCAAAAGCCCTTTTTAAGTACTAGCTAAGGCTTACTTGGAAAATATGCTATGTTTTTTTGCAGTAGCAAGGTATGAATGAAAACCACTGAACCAGAGGAAGGAAGGTAGAGAAAAGGAACAGAAATATGGCAATGTGGGAACCTACTGTTTTCATATAGAATCATAGTTTTTTTAAAAAAGTTCATTTCATCTTTGAAATCTCTGGTATTATTATTTCTGAATCTTCAAATTTACAGCATTTGATAATAATTTGTAAACAGAACAATCTCAACATCTGTGCAAAAGAGTATTTTATTTATCTGGCAATAGATTTTTTTTTAACTCAAAGAGAACAGTCAAGTGTCAGCTTTATGCAATCAAAGAGAGCTGAACATTTCCTTCAGAGTAAGAACCACTGAATTAAAACACTACCATCAGAATATCTGGGAAATGAAGATAGAGAAACTTCTAGGGAATATATATGTACATATTTGATCCATGTAGTATGTGTGTGTGAATGTACATATTAAATACATTGTGTGTACACACATGTCCATTTTTCTAAGAATACATGATCTTGGCTATACTGCTATTAAAAACATGGATGCATTTCTAGTCCAAGTTTCTTTAATTTCTAAAATCATAGAATTAAGTTTGGTATACAGCTTGTTATCGGACTTTTTAATATAAAGGTCACATTTAGAAATATTCTACTTTTCCCATTGTTCATTCTATTCAGACTACTGGTACACATATTCAGCTCGAAGCTATTATATTACACCCTCAGTAATGTAATCTGAGGGTGGTCCTTTTAAGATGAATGTGGTAACACTGTGATCTGTTTATTCAGTGGAAAATCTATTTCAATGTCTAATTAGAAGCCTTTTAAAGGTCTACTCTTAGCTCCTTTGTAGGATGACTGTCAGAGAGGGAGCTGGGTTTGTCTACATAGATGTTACCCCACACCTGCATTTTAGTTTACATAAGTTCCAAAAATATACACTGCTTTTATCACACCTACTGTATGCTGAAAATGTTAATGCTTTTGGCAAACTGTACAGCGCTTCAATGTGCAAAGTGCTAAATGAATATTTGAAAGCTTTGGTTCAGAGTTGGAAGCTTTTCACTTTAGCCTGCCCTCTGGCCAAATCCTCAGCTAGCTAGAGAGTGTGCATAGCTGCAGTAATAAAGACAGAGCTAGAAGGAAGGTTGTTGGGCTCTGATCCAGGGATCAGCTGTCAGAAAACAAAAACAAAACTAGACTTGAGTTGAGAACCATTTCATCCCCATCTCCTTCTGGCCGATTTAAAGAATAATCTACTTCAAATTTGCCAATGTTCAGCTCTATTCATCCCTGTTTCAGCTATGTTTGCAGATCTTCATTTTCTTGTTCTATGGTTGGGAGGGAAGGGAAGTGTTGTCTATGCGCTATTCATCATCAAATCTTATAAATATGTAACAACCTTCAGCATCTGGAGGAGATTTGCCTGGCTGTGTACTTGAACACCAATTTCAAATACCAGGAAAAAGGAAACCATGCCTCTTGGCTTAAACAAAGTTTTCTAGTTGGGTAAGTCTGAACATGGCTCATTGAGGTTATAACTCACTGATCCAAATAAACTCCAACTGTCAATGCAGAATAGGACAAGAATGTGGTTTCTTTATAGCAGGGTTTAGATGAACTGTCCAGGTACAATTTGCTCATGCAAGTAACTCAGATGAACAAAAGGTTGTGTCTCTCACATGAGTGGTTCTGACCACTATTCATTCTCTGGGGTTACCCTATATGCCTTTCTGAAGACTCAGTGATTACAATAGTCAGAAATCATTTTTGATAATATAAACACCAGATATTTCTACTTTTTTTCCCTCACTGGTTTTTTTCTCAGAAATTTCCTCATTCTGTTCAGTAAATAATATAAATCTTTGGAAATAAGAGTGAATGAACTGACAACTTTTTTTCACCTTCTTCTCAGTGTTAGGTTATATATATACATATAAAGACAGACCATTACCCCTGGCACTAATATTCTCCAATGGAGATAGCTTTTATTATCAGTAGCTTCATATTCATTCATAGTTTCAGTAGCAATTTTATTGAGAGAGATTACTGTTCATTTTTTAATAATTTTTGGATTCCAATCACCTAAGCTTAAGAAAAAGCAACAATTACAACCTTAACATGATCCTCTGCTTAAGTGATCTAGAACATGAAATTCTACAGACCTTTCTTGCCCTTTCTCCAGCTCCAACTTATGACTGCTAGGGATCCCTCTAACCCTCTGCAGCACAAGCTATGTCCTAGAATATGATTTCTGAATCACTGGGTCTTATCAGAAAATGAGAAAGGAGGACCCATCTGAGTCTAATTTCTAAAGGAAAGGAGATGGTGGTCAGGCACCAGATATACCATCTTTAGTCTCCTGAACTCTGAGTTATTTTAAGTACTTCCTATTTGATTCATTCCTTAGAGCCAGAGTAGTGATTAGAAAAAAGATGAAGCTTGAGATCTAAAAGGAGAAGTTACCTCGGGATTTTCGTCCAAGAACATAAGCTTTTCCAAGGAGTTGCCATGTTGGCCTGTATAAGTCTTCTAGATCCAGTTGCCATCTATCCGGTTCCAGGTATCGGATCAGTTCTTCCAATGTACCAAAGGCAGCGATGGCATTGTTAAGCAAGTCTAGTGGCAATGTTGAGGGGGGTAACACTGAAGGGCTTAGTGCTTCTGTGTGGTGCTGAAAAGAAAACAAAACGTTTATTAACTCTTCCAAGTAATTCAATATTGTAATGCCTATATCCCTTCTTTATTTGTACTCAAACTGAAAGAGTAAGTATTGGTAAACACTCATCAGAAATCAGCAGTAATTATTTTTGAAAGATTAAGATCCTTAATTCTCCTCTTTGATGACGATGATGATGGTGACAATAATGACATTGTGCTTAACAAATTACAAAGCACTTTCCTCACAATATCTCTTTACATAATGTAGTTCCTTTTTACATAGGAAGAATCAGTTAAGTTCAGAAAGGTCAAGTCATTTGTCCACAGATGGACTATCAGCTAGTTTAGGAGATGAGATTTGAACCCAGTCCTCCTCACTCAAAATCTAGCACTCTTTCTTCACCACCATGCAGCAGAGGTTCATAAACATTAATCTTCACAAATTAAGGCAGATGGAGATAGTTGGTGTTCAAATGGAAAACACAAAACATCCCAATTCTCAACTTGTGGACATCAAGTAAAGGTCACAGAGTAAAAGGACCCTAGGCTTTTGGATAGGGGTTATTTTTCATTTCCATGAAACTTTTAGCTCCTCCGATAGGGATTCTTGCACTGGAGTACCTGGATGGAATGGGGATACTGTCAATAAAGTGAATAAGGTAGAAAGTTAAATACTACTAAAACTTCCCAATTTGTTCATTCTAATCAGGCACCCTAAATTAGGATATCACAAGTGGTTATTAAGCCCTTCCCTGAAGTTCATTTACATACAAGAAAAGAAAGGTCTACAGATTTGTCCTGGGCCACACAGCAAATTCTTGTTAGAATTAGGAATCAAATCCACTATTCTCTATTTCTGCTCCATGCCTTCTTCCACTGAAACTCCTCCAGCCAGTACCTACAAAAGTCCAGATGCTGCTACAGCAGTTCTCAAAATTGCATTCCCTTGATGGCATTCACCATCCTATGATTTAGAGCTAAAAGAACCCTTAGAGCTTGCATACACCAACTCTTACCTGCACTCAAGATTTCACTATGGTCATAGGCTTGACGATGCTAACTATAGAAACACATTGCAGATAGAAAAGAGGACTGCCTATTCTTTCATTTCTTGAAAAGTCAAAATCGTTTTATAAAACACTGCAACCCTGTTTACCTCAGTTAGAATTAGACTTACTGATATCCTTCATGTATTAAACCCAAAGAACAAGTAGGAGAGAAAAAGTTTAGCCAGGTTTTTGTATTATCTAGAGAATCAAAGAAACAGTAATTTACAAAGGGGGAAAAAAAAACCCATCACAATGTTTACTTCAAAAGATCCAAGAACTAGAAATGCAATTTAAACCTACTGAATTCTATTAGCAAACTCGTTTCCAAGTAGAAATCTTTGGGCATTACTGCTAATAATATCAAGTTTAGAGGTATATGCATTAATAGAATTAGAGAAATTTAGATCTGAAAGAAAACTACTTTGGTTCTAGTACTTTATGGTGCCAGTGACTGCCCTTACACATCAGACATTATACATTTAGAGCAACACAAATACAGTGGCTAAACCAGAATTAAAATCGGTATCACTTACATTCATTGACTACTCTCCAAGGTCAGTCTTTGAAATACACTGCTCTGTTGATGCCAGTCCTCCACCCAAGGACCTTTGGTGACTCTTATTCAGCCTGCCTGCTGAACAAATTCTCAACTCCTAATCCTGGCATTCCAAGACTTACACAGTCAGGCTCCAAACTTTTTTTTTCCAGTTCTATCTCATCTCATTCCCTTGCATGTACTCTATGTTTCTGTTTAACTAGATTACTCTTCAGAGCTCATTTTTGTTTTACCCTCTTCTACCCTTGTATTTTTCCTTCCCCACATTTAGAATGGACTTTACCATCTCTTGAACTCCCTTTTTGCTGTTCATGCCCAGTTCATGACATTAAGCATGATGTTTTCCCAACTCAGCTAGACTAGATGTTCTCCTGCTGGGAGAATGTTTCTTAACTACACTTTCCCAGAACTTCTTTGAATTTAAAATGTGCTCTTTTATCACGTATAACCACCTCCTCCCAGACTTTATCTCAATCCAGATTAAAAGCTACTTGAGAACAGGTTCTTAGTCATCTCTGTCTTTGTATTCCTAATATCTACATTAATATATTACATTCAATAGGCACTGAAAGGCTTTTTCAAGGGTTATTTTGTTGTTGGCTTATTTTTTTCATAAAAATATGCATCTATATATTTAAAAATATTATTCTAAGAAGGGGCCTATGAGTTTAACCAGACTACCAAAGGGGTCCATGTCACAAAAAAAGGTTAAAGTACCCCCTAAAAAAGAGCAATATTTCAATATAAAAATCTTACAGCTATAGAAAACTCCTTCTAAAGCAGTGTAAACTTTCAAATGAGACTGACTTCCAGTGGGGTACAATTCAATATCAGGGGGAAGAGAAAAGTTCCTAGGTAAAATTGACATTCAAGGATTCTTTTCCTTGGGTGTGCTCAAGTCTCAGGTCCTCAAGATGGCAGAAGTTCAATTGCTGGGATTTGGATGAATCATTTGGTATGTGCTACCACATTCATGAAATTGGTACACTGACAGAAAAATCAAACATTTAAGATTTAAAAATCTACATATATGAAAATTCCTAAACAACCTACCAAATAAATCAGTTTTGTTGAAATTTCAGAATCAGTGCAATGAGACCCAACAGAGAGAACAGTTGAATCTATTAAAGGACAATCTCATGACTCTTTGCCCCACCCACTCAGTTCAAGGAAGAATAAAGCTGGTTCCTTTTGTAAGTTCTTCTTTTCTAAGAAGGCAAAATACCAAAGCAAAGGAGAAAGGGAGTGGAGAGAAAGAAAATAGGAAGAAACTTCTACCCATATTTCTTCTGCTTTGTTTCCTCTAACAAAATGGCATTGATAGTGATGACTGATGAGTTTCCTAGAATCTTTTTGTCTCCTCTCCTATTCAGCTTCTAGAACATTGCAACTCGGTGCATTTTGATTTAAAATACTGAATGTTTTATCATGCATTATTAGTTAGCTAATTAGATCTAGAAGTGTGTCAACACTTAGATTTACTACCCTCACCAAGCTGTGTTTCAATTTTCATTATTATGACTATTTCCATTTTGAAGATCATCAAAATACTCATTATCATTTGATTATCCCAAGAATGAAACAATTTCACATTATATAATAATAGAATCCACAGTAATAAGCATATTTCAAGATTTAATTTCTCAGCCTAGTGCTATGTTATTCAAGTTGCTCCTTAATGACAGTCATTATCATTCAGGAAAAGATACCATACTGTTCTCTCCAACACAGGCAAACTTTGAAGGTCCATTCCTTCTCATTTTATGATTCTACAAAAGAGAAGGTAGATAGATCATAGTAGCATTTATGAAGAAGTTTTGTACAGAGAGGCAATATGGATGTCTGAAGAAACACAGAATCTAGAGGTAGAGGACTCGAGGCCAAATATTGACTCTGTTATCTGTTTGAAAAAAGACAAACTCTATCCAGCAATTTCCTAACCTATAAAATAGGGGAGTAGAATAATCTATAAAGTCCTTTCCAGTTGTAAACTCTATGATCTTAGATAGATAGATAGATAGATAGACAGATAGATAGAGTCTGACCATATGGAATACAAAGTAAAAACTATACCTTTTCATTTTTCTTCTAAATGAGACATACCTAGAGGGGCATTAGGGAACACTAGAAAAAAGTATTGACTGCGAATTAAAAACCTAGACAAGTGTACTCAACCAGGCTACTAACTGCGTGACCATGGGGAATTCATCTAACCTTAATGGTCCTCAGTTTTTTGTCTCTTCCCCATTTGTATTCCCTTATTGTAAAATGTAGAGAGGGGTGTGGGAAGGTTGTGAATGGGGAAAGCCCAAGGCTGGTAAATTGCACTTAAATCGCATGCTTATATATTTTGAATATTTTCTTCAAGAAAAGAATCAGCAGACATGGACATGGACATGGAAAGCACCAAATAACATCACAGAGAATGAAATTGATTATATTTGAACAGACAGGAAAAGGTTCATTACTGATGTGGGCGTCACTACTGAATCAGCTGTCTCATGTAGTCAGACTACTGACTTGTTTGAGCTGAGATCAAAATTAGTACAAAGCTAGAAAAAGAATATACTGAGGAAAACAATATATGGCATGCATTTGAAACAATTCAATCTTGACCCATTTAAAGAAGCTATTGATGCTGAAAAATAGTTAATGGATGGTAGAAAAGACAGTGGACAACTAAGTGATACAATGGGTAGAGTGCCAGGTCTGCAGTTAAGAAGACTCATCTTTGTGAATTCAAATCTGGCCTCAGACACTTATTAGCTCTGCAGCCCTGGGCAAGTCACTTGACCCCATTTGACTCAGCTTCCTCATCTATAAAATGAGCTGGAGAAGGAAACGGCAAAGCACTCCAGTATCTTTGCCAAGAACACCCAGAATGGGGTCACAAAAAGTTAGACACAGCTAAGAAAATGACTGAGCAACAAGATTAAGAAAGGACAACCTACTACACCACTAGCAGCAATTCGGTACAAAAGTTTAACTGATATAAATTAATTGCAAAAGACTGAAAGGGCCTAAGCCAACTCTTTCCATATTTGCCAAGCAAAAGTTCATAGCAGCCAAAAGCAATACAACTTTAGAATATAAACTATTTTGTAATATCCGATGAAGGACGGTGGAAGATCATGTGTGTTAGTGTCTCATAAAACAGAGAGAGGCAATGAATAACAAAAGAAAGTTCAATAACAGACTTAACTAATTAGTCATGAAGGCATTTAAGGATGGAAGGGGAAGAGGACAACAAATAAAATTTTTAAAAGGGGGAAAATCTGCAAACATTTTTATCAAAAACTATTGTCCACCCTCAAGAATAATGGAACTGCTGTATTTTGTCTTTACTGTCACAGTCCTTGTGTGTATATAGATAAAAGAGAAATGAAACTAAAGAGAACAAAGATGAGA